AGAAAAATAGATATTTCATTGGTAATTATATAATAATAATGGATATGTTATCGTAGGTCCAGAAAATCCAAGAAATGCTTAAAAAGAAAGGGTATGGTGACATCAAGGTTGGCAGTGTCGAGGAGTTTCAAGGCCAGGAACGACGCGTTGTCATTGTCTCCACAGTACGCAGTAAGACAGAAGAGTTCTTAGCTATGGACAAAAAATTCAGCTTGGGATTCCTTGATAATCCAAAACGCTTTAATGTCGTTATTACTCGTGCTCAGGCCCTACTCATCTTCATTGGAAACACAGAAATGCTGAAAATCGATAAGAACKGGAAAAGGTAATGGGATTCCTGTGTTACAGAGTTGATGGTGGCTTACCAGCTCAATAGATCTTTTTTTCATGCAGCAAACATGCTTATTCCCAAGATAATTTTTTTTGTTTCTGCCTCTGCAAACTCATTTGATTATTGCAAGGAGAATCAAGCAAAAATATATTCTTCTGGCACGTGAGAAAGGTTAATTTAAAACTACAATGTTCACATTTGATGAACACTGCTGTTGAGGATCTCTAATGATTAAAGTGCAAACCTATCTTTAATACTAGCCTGTAATCCTTATACACAATATCCACRAAAAATAGGATCTTGTGAATGGAATTTTCATTTTGTTATTCATCCAATTTCCTCATCCATCCATCCTAGAAACTAGGGAGAAAGGAAATAAAATCAAATTGTACCCAAAATTTAGAGTCCCAAAAATTTATTTCCTTTTCATCCAATTATTATTTTACTTTAGGTTTTTACACTTCTGTGAAGTCAACAAGGGAATTGTAAAGGTTCCAGCCAAAGATACTGTCACAAGCATCCAATCTCTGCTGAAGAAAATGCACCTTAAAGAAGAAACTGGTAAATTAGAAATGAATATTTCCCTTAAAAAATCTTATTTTTTCATACCAAGAATTGAATGTAATTCATACTTCATTCCTATTTAACTATATTTAGATCTTACTGAAGATGAAATGGATATCAGTATGAAAGAACTGCAGGAAAATCCAGAATGGACTCGACATGAATGAGAAGCTTAAAGCACTTGATGAAGTCAAGACAGCCCTTCACTTTTTAAAAAGAAGTTATATAACAACTTCTTTGCATAATAACTATGATTATATATGAATATAGAGCTTTTAAGTTGCAATGTATTTCCGGGTCCAACTGATTATGAAAACTGCCAAAATCAAGTGAAGAATGTTCTCAATTACTTAACCTCAACCTGAAACAATTATAACCTTGAAAAAAAATCCCATAGTGAAGAAAATGTTAAAAAATCTTGATAAAACTGCTTTTTTATTTAAAATGATGAATATTAATGTCACGCTTTAAAGCTTTATAGGAAATTGCCTTTGTTAGATGTAGCATTTTACTTTTTTCCTCATGCTTTTTTGTTGTTAAATTTCATTCTATACAGTATTTTGCAATAAAGATTAAAAAATTATTATATCGAGGATTTTTCTCTGGCTGGTTCTCTGGTTTTCCTCCCTGTACAAAACCTAACTCTAAACTCAAATRCAATCTGTGAGTTATCCCTTGCCTTGACTTTGAGACCCAGGTTTGTTTCAGGGTTTGATATAATTTGAAGGTTTAAGATAACCTCTGTATTGATGGTTTTCACCGAGGCCATGTTGAAGGAACTTAACAAAAGAATTGTCAATGAATTCTTTTATTATATCCTCCAATATGGCCACCTTGTCTTTTGTTATCTAATTCTTTTGGGAATGGTTGAAAACCATCAATTAATTGTATGTGTATTAGGTGGGTTTGAAATGTAGTTATTTTTAATTAAAGTGATAATTAAAGTAAAAAGAAGAAAACCAGAAAGGATATGATTTGAATGCAATTCCATCTGAATTCGCAATGGCAACCAATACATTTAAAATAAGTTATATACATCATCACGCACAATGGTTGTCGACTGTTTACCTAACTGTAATCATTTTGAATCTTCAATTAAGTCTTTGGCTTCGTTTATCTTGGCAGCTAAGTATGGGGATCCCCCTGGAATGAAATAAAGTGTATTTAACTAAAGAGCATTAAAGCCTACAGGATCTGATTTCAAAGCCCTTATAAAATAAATAAGAATGGCCTTTATTTTCTTTTTGATATCTCTTTTTGTTGCCAAGATATTCAATATAAAAATCAAAAAATGATGATCTCAACCCAGGATTTTCGTTAGAAGTCAAATCATCAAATAGAGAATATCTCTGTGAGAATTAGCTCAAAATGACAGAAACTTTTGGTGGTCAGCACATGCACACATGTTTTTTATTTCCTCAATGTTAATGTTCACTTACCTCTGTCTGGATGGTTAATTAACATGATTCTTCTGTGGGCCTCCCTTACTTTTACTTTATTAGCAGAGGGGCTGGGGAAATAAGTCAAATAAATAGGCTTAGAGCTGGCTTTACCAGGTGATCTTGTGCACGCACTTCCAGTTACTATTAACCAATCAGAAGCATTTTTGTTGCATCGCCAAAAGTTCCATGATCAATTTCAATGGAAGCAAGACACAAAAAACGGATGCGAGGGAGACTACTAGATTGCTGGATAGCATTTTTATCTGTTAGGTAGTTATTATCTGGTCAATAACTTATTTGGGCTCCTAATCTCTGTTTATTCATCCCAGATACATGTCATTTCCATGAGTATCATTTCTTTAGCAATAATGCTTGATAGGATACATCATGTTACTAGAAGAACTTCAATTTCAAGTCAATAATATATAGACTTTTTTTGAGATAACAAACATGGTAACATTGTAATCTAGCTTAGGTACGAACATTTTTTGTCTATCATGCCTTGTATGTTACTTGTACCCAAGCTTGACCATAATGCATCCCGTTTATAGAATGGTAGTGAATGAAAACAGTGAGTAACAAAATTTTACAACTGTACTCAGCTGTCCCTACCTTACTCCAAGAATAAGAGCTGCTTCTCTCTTTGTCATTTTAGATTCGAATCCTCCACGATAATAATGAGAAAACGTCTGCAAATTTTTATAAAAATATAAGCTTATGATTCTTGAAAACGAAATTTTGAAAGCTGTAAATCTTGCTCTCAAATGTCAGACAAAATTTGTGATATTTTGATGATTACTGAACCAAACTAACCGGTAATTTTGGGATTACTTTAGGTATAGCATTCATATCTATTCTTTTAAACGCCTGCACAGCAAATCGAGCTGCAAATAGATAATAATAATGATAAACAAATTTAGTAAAAAGTCAGAAAATATTTCAGAAAATATTCCAGCACATGGGGGCAAAAACAAATGCAGAAAATTCAACGAATTATTTACCTGCAAACGCAGTTCCTGCTACTCCAAGACCAGCAAGTATTAAACTTGTCTAGAGAGACGAAGAAAGGCGTTTTAAGTTAGAGAAAGAAGCAGAGAAAAGCTGGAAAGAAGAAAGAYCAAATATATAAAACACGTTTTACTCACCATCTTTGACTCGTGTGATGACAGGAAGTGACGCAATATTACCCATGATGCTATACTCGCTTTCTTTAAGCTGTGACGTAATTTTCTATCTGTCTTGATTTATGTAAGAAATATTGTAAAAATCTAAAATTAATTTTTATTTCTGAATTATACAATATATTGCTACTTTGGACTGGAATATTGTACACTGAAGGACTGTACTAGACGTCGGTTGACYGGCAAAAATTGCAAAAAATTTCTTTTCGAATTTAAAACTTTTGAAAGGGTGTGGATAATGCTAGTGTACAGAAAAAASATGTCCAACTACCAAACTTTGATTTATCCTCTTAATTTCGGATTTATGAGAGATTTTTTAAGTTTGGAAAATCWGGAACCGGCCGTGAGTGGACTGAACTGGACTTCGCTCAACTGGATTGTRGATCGTAAAACGTTTTTAATACCGAATTCACAGCTTCAAACCTATGATTTTTATTTCCATATCTATAAATAATGCTTTTGTGCTGAAATTTTGCAACAACAAAAAAACAACAAGATTTTTTTTATCATTGGAGGTCGAACGTAGATTCATTTGGACTCAGTTGGGACACCTTTGCTTGTTGTTTATCCATCTATCAACTTTAAAACATACAATATCTTTGAAACTTATGTGTTATATTCAGTAAGGTGAAGCTGACATAATGTTTACTGAGGTTTGATGGTTTTCACAGGCAAACGCTTTTAGCCTGTTGAGATACCTTTTATGTCATTAATTTTGTTCCTATTTCATTTCTTGCACATGACTAAAAATTTGAGATACTTCTTGGAGTTCGAGGAAATAAARCGAAATAAATGCGAGGAAAATTAGTGAAGACAAATAGGGAAAAGATCAAAGAAGACGAAAAACAGAAAAAGAAAAGAAAGGGAAAACGAATGGAAAAAGGAAGGAAAAAGGAAAAGAAAGGGAAAATGGAAAGGAAAGGAAAAGAAAAGGAAAATGAAAGAAAGCAACAGAAAACGAAGTTGGGAAATGGGAAAGGAAAGTTTGATTTAAAAAAATGAGAGGGAAAGGAAAGGAAATAAGGGAAAAAGAGGAAGAGACGAAGCAAAAGAGGAAAAGATGAAGCAAAATAAAACATATAAAGAGCAAAACAGAAAACAAAAGTGAGAAAAGAAAAGTTTAAATCAGGATAGTAAAATGAAAGTGAAAAAAAAAAAAGGAGAAGAAAAAAATGAAAAGAAAGGAAGTGACGTAATCCCATGGTGCATTGTGTTTTTGTTTGTACAACCACTGACCCAGTTGGTACCACTTCCGTTCTATCATCCGGGACCTTCAGATTGACTCKTTGTCTCGCGCTCCCTCGAATCCAACATGGCTGACGACCTTCTTGGTGACTCATCTTACGGCGAAGAAACAGCCGAAGATCCTGCTGCTGACTTCCTAGCAAGAGAACAAGACGAACTAGCTGAACTAGGAGAAGATTTAGAAGGCGTTGGAAATGCAGATGAGGTAAAAACGCGYTGAATTCGTTGCGAAATTGGGTCGTTTTTTGTTACCGGTTTATCGAAAATTGTCCGCTTTACGAGTGTTTGATCTTCTTGACAGCGTGGAATTTCCTACGTGTAAAAATATCGCTTATTCATTCACTATTATAGTTATTATAGACCGTACTTTGAGTACTTTTACCGTTGAGTTTACATTTGTATTTATTGAATGACTTAGTTAAAACTGATGGAAGATTTCATTAGTTTATTGATAATGGTTCCACATAGGCGTGGATATATTTAGCTTGTCTTTGATCCCAGCTGCTTTTTCTAAGGTTTTCTTTAGTAACAAAGACGTTGCTATACCTCAAAAGCTTTCATTCCAGCTATTCTTTATGATTGTGTAGTTCCACCCGACCCCTAAAAGGGAAACCATAGAGATACGTCTTTATAGAGGGGTGGTATGACTTTACAACTGACATGTTTCTATATTTAYCATACCAATGTATGGATCAACCCCATTTATTTGCTAGAATTTCTTTTAAAATCCTTCTAGTATGGGAGTTCTGTTATGGATTTATTATCTTCATGCTCTGATTGAATTGAAAGATAGTTTAAGGGGGTGGGCTATATGGGGTATGTGTAACTTTTTAACTATATGCATTCCTATWACTACAGTAGCATGATGTACAAAATATCCAATAACAAATATACTAAGATATAAAAATTAGTATTTATACCATTTTTATGKTGCGTACAGAGGTCATAATTTTTAAATTTCACAAAATATTTTGTTTAACATTGTGCATACAGTTTCTGCTTTCCATTTAAATTTTTTTTAATGGTTTTAAAAAGCCAGCAATATGCAGAATGGATGAGGAAATTTGCAATTTAACATTGTATATTTCCTTAACCCCTTTTGTTTTGTAGCGCAGTAATGTGATTCCAGCAAATCTTTTAAAACTTTTCCATTCTCATATTGAATTTTGGTCAATTGCTGAACATTTGAAAGCAAACCATAGCTATGATGAATGGCTGTTTTTTTTAAATTTGTGATCCAGAGACTATGCTACTTCCCATTTWCCATTTCTCATCCATTCAAATATTKTTATCATGTCCATTAGTTTATTTGGTATGACATGGATGAAGACCAACCAYCCCTTTCCCATATTCTTYACTCCTTAAYACTWKCCATACTTTTTTCCATACTTTTTTTAAGGATTAATGATTCTTTTTCATTTCTCCAGGGTGATAATTTCGATTTGTTAGAAGACAGCACAGAACCAGTCGTAAATGGATTTGGGGAAGAAGAAGTAAGGATGACAATTTTTAATATSTTCTAAAATATTTAAGTTGTCTTTAAATTTTACTTCATGAAATTTATCATGGTAAAATCTCTGATCTCTTGTGCTTGATGACTTCAGTGTGTAATATGCATGACTGTAATTAATTGTGCTGTCGTTTAGAATGATAGTTCCTCCGCCCAACAATCTGCTGCAAGTTTACTRTCAAGACAAGAAGAACCAGAATCTGTCAAGTAAGTGTGTAATTGTTTTTTCAATAATTCTACCTCTATTTTCTGGTTTTGAAGGCACATGCATCCAGTACATTTGAGATACTTCGTCTGAACCTTTTTTGCCATGGTTATCAGGACTATTTTGCTTGAAAAAGGTACTTTTGCTGTGTTAAGCTGAATGATTTAATCTCTCATTATGGGATTTGATAGTGGTTTTACTGAGCGGCTCCTCCAATGAAATCGAATTTTGAAACTGGAGAACCCCCAGGAAAAAAAAACCCTTGGAGCTCACAAGAGARCCACTTTGAACCTGGATTGCATAGGCAATTATTGCTGGTCAGTTCTTGGGACCCTGGAATGCTAAACTCGCTGTTGACTTTTGTAATATCATCAACAAAAAACCACACTTTTATGTTGATATATTATAATTCTTGATTGTAACCTTTAGAAAATGGAGAGAGGAAAAAGCTGCACTTCTCGAAAAAATGGACGAAGAGGAAAGAGAAGCGATACAAGAATGGAGAGAGCAAGCAAAGAAGGAACTTAATGACTGGTATGACAGACGTGATGAACAATTAGGAAAAACAAAATCAACTAATAGGTATGTTCTTATGCTGGAAGTTTATTGATAACAATAGTATAACAATCCTATAAAAAATATTTAGAAATAAATCTTCTTTACTACTACACATAGTTTTAATGTTTTAAGTGCTTATTAAGACAAACTCACAATAGGTTAAGCTACTGTCAATTAAATCAGAGTATATAGTTATAAGAGCACATGCAAACCTACAACTTTTGTCTCAATCAGTGCGTTTTGCTATTGTAGCTCGGCTGTTGTGCACTACTATTTGAATCACCTCAAGGTCCCTGACTGACCTTGTGGTATAAAGTTGGTGCTAGATCGATGTACAGTACAAGTGATAACTACCATTCTCCCTCATAAAGTGAGAGGTGTGGCTTTAATGCTTGTATACATCCAATGTTAATAGGSTCTGCATCAAACAGTCATGTGCTGATATATCACTTTGATTACGAATCAATTCAGCCTGAGGTCTGCTGGACAGTAATCAAACTTTAAGTTGCTTTGTATCTTGGAATCAAAAGTATCTTATAGAGTATGTGCATGTTACATCATAGCTGCCATGTTGGTTGATGATAAAAAAGCATTCCTAATTAGCTACTCTTGTTAAATTTTCCAAGATGGCAGCTGTTTCATCGTTTTTTTAATATCTCTAGAGATTTTGAGTCACATGGTTGTACACTATAAGGGGAAAATAGTATTTTGAAAAAGGTTTTGGATATGACATATTGCAGCCCAGAAACGGTCATGTGATTATGTCTTTGCTAAGGGCCTATTAACATCAAGAAAGCTATAATCTGCATTGTATGCAAGCCTGTAACTCTTAATCTACAATTATGGCTATTCCTAGTTCAACCATTTATTTTTTTAATTCATAGAGCTGACGAGGAAGAGTTCGTATCTGACAGAGATGATACATCGAAACCAGGACACGATTGGGAGAAAGTYTGCAAAGCCTGCGACTTTAATCCCAAAGGAACTAAGAACAATAAGGATGTTTCTCGCATGCGTTCAATCTTTCTTCAACTCAAACAGAACCCTCTCGTCAGAGACTAATTATAACCCTCATGTTAAGTATTTTGAATTGTCACAGTGGTGGAGTTTGTATCTAATTAGTCTTCAAATTATATTGTCAAAAAATGGTAAAGTTAATCTCGGCTTTATAGGGAGAGAAGGTTGAAAGTATATTGTACTTTTTCAAAAAATTACTAACTTTATAGGAATGTAATGTTGTTTCTTTCTTTGATTTCGCTGACAAACAATCTTTTTCTTCTTGTTGCTATAAACGTCTGTGCTTGTATGATGATGCCGCAGACTACCATTTCACATTTGCTTTCCCTTTCTTTTATTTCTCTCTTCCCATTGTTATGGGACTTGGAGGAACGAAAACAGTTTTATAAGGAATTAAGTTTTAAAGTATTGTTGGTAGCAATCAAAGATACTTTGCAATTGTTGAAGTTATTGTTTTTGTATGGCAACTGCTTTCTAATATTCTTTCAATCATAAATTTTGCTTTAAAATACTAAAATAACTAAAAGTTAAAACACAGAAACAGAGGGTAACAAAAACAGCCATTTTTATTCCATGAAAAGCAGTGTCTTTTTCTACAAGGGTCATATAATGTTGTATTTTTTTTCTTACGCTGTGCATAAAGGTCCTTCAACCCATTCAAATTTAATTTAATTCTCTTGTATTTGCATCACAAATATAAAGCTTTTCATTTCAATATTGGTGTTTTTAGATACACCAATATCTTATCACCTCCACCAACTTAACCACTAATTAATAAAATAATATTCAAGGGAATAACATTGTATCAAAATTGGAAAACATTAGCACTCATCTATAGTGAGGTCCTCAGCAATAGACTTTATTCATGGTGTGACAATGTTTTCCCAATTGAACATGACAAACCTCAAGGGGAATAAACAGCTATAGTTTTGAAACTCGTCGGAATATCGTTATTCCTTTGTATCCTTTGGGATACTTTTTCGAAGAGAAAAACAAAAGAAAATGAATCCTCTGGAGGTTTGTCACGCAGAATTGGGAAAACATTGTAAYACCACGACTCGGGTCYATTATTCGAACAGCTAAGCTAAAAGTTGATTGTAACCCCATTGTTTTTGATTCTGGAGTATCTCTGTACTGTTGTACCTGGCTGTTTTTGTTGGTCCAATGTAGGCATTGTTTTGGATAACTGTCGGCTTGTTTTAATTTTTATTGTATGGTCGGTCTTGTTTATACAATGTAACTATATGATAGAAGTAGTAATTTAGACACAGAATTCATGATCATGGTATACGCTATAAGATGATTTCTTGTAAAGCAGTTCAGTAGGAATAAATATCTTCTCTTTTTATCAGTCTTGGTTCGTTATTTTAATGCTCAGTAAATTTCAGGGGGAGGTAGAGGGGCATTTTTGTACCTTTTCCCATTCCTCTTTTTCTGGTCCATATTTGCTTCRTGCCTGACAAGTGGTTATCGCCATGGTCTTTTGGGACACTTTGTACCCTTGTGTCATTCCTTTTACCTCGTCTCTCCTGGTGTTCCATATTTGTTTCATGGCYGAGTATAGCTGGTCATACCCTTGATTTCTGCTGCTGTTGACTTCCAACCCAAGTGTGCAGTTTAGGGGGGGGGGGGAGTAATTTAGTTTCTTCCGTCAACACAACGGAAAACAATAAAAAAAGCATCTAATTCTTCAGGTTTTTTTGTATTTTTTTTGCTGAGGGGGGCTTCAGTCCCCTTTTGCCCCCCCTGGATCTGCCCTTGCCTTCCTCAAGGACATAAGGACAGGGAACTACTGGTTATAYGTGGTAGGGGCACAACCCTTCTTATCAGAGTTTAAATGTTATAAAGTAAAAGAAAATCACGTTTTTCTTAGCGTTAATGATGTTTTATTTTAAAATATTATTTTGTTTGTAAACTCTTTAAAATCTTAAAAATTCAAAAACTAAAAATGTGTCCAAAGCCAAAAATAACAAGCAAAAAACAAAACGGAAAAAAGACATGCGAACCTCTCTTATCCTAGAACCACTCGCTCTCAGTGTGGAGCCTTAATCGCAGTATTTTTTGTTTTTGCTGACAGCATTGTACAAGTTTTTTGTGGTTAACTGGCTACAAAGGGAAGCTGATACTGTCTTTCGTGAACCGCAAAATCTGCTCTGTTCAACTGGGAGTAACCTCTGACCGAGGAATAATGCAGTGTCGTAAAAGAACGGCCCTGAAATTAAATCTTTAATAAGACGGAAGTATGATCTGAGATCATGCGATCAACTTTGAACTTCTACCTTATTCCCAATCACTATCAAATTTTGATTCTGAAAAATCTATATGTAAAAACATATACGGCACGAATGTCGTCAATGCCGTGCTGTGCTGTGCGTTGTAATTTTACAAAAAATATAGTATCTGATTTCCCTTTTGAATCCTCTAAAAAATGATATCGCTATTAGATGCAAAAGTTTTAAAATTTTCTACCATAATGGCCCGAGTTTTCACCATCATGCGCAAATCGTACCATGAGATTTTCCACCCAATAAACCAAGGTCTTTCCCCAAGGTATCCCAAGATTCACTGTAGTCATGATGTGACTATTGCAAAGGCAGTTCTATTCGCTACTAAGACCTATCGTGCGCACACAAGCGCGCGATGATTCTCTTAATCTCGTAACGACGTAGAACAGCCAGTTCGTTAGGTAGTCTACAACYCGCCATCTTCCACGCGAGGTGATGATGTAATCTGCTATGCTGGAACGAGGAAATGCGCGCAGAATGTCAACCTGAAAAAATGAGGAACAGATTCTTATAAGAAACATGTGGTTTTATCAGAAACGCGCATTGAAACTGCGGCCATACACCATATGGAATGTTTTCTCAAGCCGCGCAATTTTAGATTTAATTTTGTCACAGCAAAAACAGCAGTGTCTATCCGAGATYACGCCCCCACTTGGCAAAAGCGTGCAGCTTCAAAATGTTGACAAAAACTAGTGCAAACATCTGCGCATCACAGGGAAGTCAGTTTTTTTATTGGGGGGAGGGGAGGGGGGCGAGTCATCAGTGGAGGGTCAACCGTTTTATTTTGACGAAAGCTTTTTCCTGATTGACTTGGACTTACTGAGGGAACTGCAAAGACTAAAACTATTACTAAAACGTTTTCTGCRAATTCCCCAGCCCTCCATCCTAATAAAGAGTATTTTCCCTAATATGACGCTTGAAATGAAAAGCGCAGGCTTCGCGCTTTCTGTCGATTTGCGCGCGCTATGAATCGCGCGAAGTTATAGCTCAGTGAATTCACGGGTTATTTCATAAACAGAATAAATTCCAAACTCTCTACGCCAGTCAGGTCGCCAGTCAGTAATGATTAAATCATAGTAACGATCCTAGTCTGAAGAATATACAATGCTTTGAAACAAAACTCACTAGCTGAAARAGATGGCCCATGATCCGATAGCGATGTTTGCATGCATTTCGTAAACCCATCGATTTGCAAAAGTCAAACCGGATATATCTCCAAAACTTATYAATTCATTTGTAATTTTTCGTCATCTAACTGTATCGTCGTTAAGATATAATAATCTTCTGCTTCATAAATCAACAAAATGAGAGATTCTCAGAAGGAATATACCCTTTATRCAATTTCGTGATTTTTCGTGGAAAACCGCGTCCTCTTGCTATCAATCGCGCGCAAAATTCATTTTCCACGAGCAAAGTTAATTGAAATAATTGATGTGGAACAGATGCTACAGCATACTCTTATTATATCTACGACTTTCTTTTCAAAACCTTAATTATTTTCGCAATATTTGTCAAAAGATAAAGAGATTATAGGCAAAACAAACAATACGTACAATTAATATAACTATCTCTTGTAGAGAATGCGTGACACTAATAACCAAAGACGATCGAAAATATTATTATTACTGATTCATAACAAAAGAAAAAAGACGAGAAGAAATCATTGCCTTTCGTAATGAATAATTTGAGAAAGAAATYAATCTTTGAATTCAGAGTGACCTTTTACTTAATATTGCCAAAAAATGGATTTTCTTCCTGGTTGCGCCGAACCTTATACATCTGAAGATGAAAAGTTTCGTTTTGTTTGCATAAGGACTTCCTGTCCGAGAATAATTTTACGGCGTGGCGACTTCATAGAAAGCGAAATAGGTCCTAAAGAATAAAGCATATTTATGGCAAAGTTGAGGTCAATCATAAATATATAAAACAACAAATATGCTATTTAAACTTATGAGGATTTATAAATGCACGTACATACCCAGCCACCTCGTCGTTTGATCCAATCTATTAGATACATCGCTGTTAATTCGTACATCCAACTAGAAATATCATTAACATAAACACTTCTACTATCCTTGTAACACTCTGCAGCAAGAGCCCCTGCAAACTGGAAGACGGCTACGATACGAGCCCAATTAACACCGTCAGATAATATCTCCGCACACACATGTCGAAACAAATCATGGACAACTTCTTCACTAGTAAAAGGCACATTGACGTGCTGTGAAATATCTGTGTAAAGCCTTGGATAACACTCTTCTAACATCCAGCCAACTTCTTGAACACGTGCAGAAATTGTTGGCCAATTTTCTCCGAAACTTTGAGCAGAACCTGACGTCCAGTAGCTGCCTGAAGATCGCTTAAGGCCCTCACGTTGAAGCTTAGCATCTACGTACTCACAACAGAGCTGCTTTCCTTCATCGAGAAGCGTAGAGGCAAATTTATCTTGCTGTAGTTGAACGATTCTTCTTGTTATTCGAATCTTTTGGTGGCTGGATGATGTAGTCATATCTATCCAGCTTAGTCGCTTCTTATTCAGTGTTGGTCGACTCAGTGTTGACATGTCTCAGTGTGTACCAGCCAGTACAAGTTATTAATACTATTGTAAAAAAATCCCGAAACTGAGTCTCTCAGTCGAGGCTCTTATAGGTTCTGCATGCGACGCATGAACGTTCTACAGCCACACTCCGAGTTTCTTACGATCTCTGTTCTAATTTTTACACTAAGCTAACAATTCATGGCTGGCTTTTCTAACGATACAAAGCAGTGTTTATCAAGACGTCTATTAATGGATTCCTTGATCCATGATTTGCTAGCCAGTAGGCAGTAGAGAAAACGTCTTGACCTACATGCCTTTCTAGTTGATTGGTTGCCACAGTTCAAGAGACTCGGGTCTGTCTCGCGACTGACTAAACGAGGCAATATGTCAACTGCTTCTTTGTGTGGTCGATGAAGCATTAAAAGACGATATCTTATGTCAATATTTTTGACGCGCATTTAGCTTGTTGGGAGGGGCGCACCCTTTGCCTACTTCAAGGCACAGGAAACCCATAACACAAGAGCTTTCTCAACGCAAGGCAAGAATTTGGTTGCTCAAATACACACGGATATTACAAGTTTTAATTAACAGTAAGTGATATCCTACTTTAATCATTGATTATWAATTATTACACCTTGTAAAACTACCATATCCTCACAAACTGTTCTTTCTTTTTTCTCAAACCCAKTTTTTACGAAAATATCTTTACATTCTGTAACAATTTTAAGTAGAATTCTAAAACTGCAGGCTCTTATTTCCTGCGTTTTTAACCAGGCATCCATCAATGGGAGCYTTAAAAGCTTAGTCAGGAGTGCCCCACAGTTTGGTCTTTGGTCCTTTTGGTTTTATTAAATATACATACAAAAATGACGTACAAAAGCGATAACTGTTTTTAAAGTGGATTTAGTCTCACTACTGTAAAGGTTAATGAACTCGGATCATCCAGTCGTTTTGAGAGATCTTAAATCAAACATACTACAGATGCTTATCAACTGGAATGCCTTCAACTAATCGACTAAACCTATTTGAACAAACATATATTACCATAAAATATGGCTTATTCCTTTTGATGAAATAAGTGTATGGGGTACCTCGAGGCTTGTTCTTGGGACCTAGTTGTACTACCCAAGAACAAGCCAAGAACTAAGATTACCTTACACGATCAACACATTTTGACTACCAATAAATAAGAAGTTTAAGGGTAAGAATATTGTCATTTCTAATTGAGTGTCTAGGTATCAGAACTAAGTACAACAAGGCAGTAATATTTGACATCTTCGAAGGCCTGAATCCAAGATTTTAACAAAGAGTAGTATTTAGTATTTGTAAGTTGAAAGATTTTTGCAAAGAAAAGCAATGACTGGCTTTGTGCTTTAAAATACTTATACCTTAAAAATAAAGCATTTCAAGTTGGACATATCTTTTTAGTTCTCTGTTAAGCTGAGCTAGCCTTGCCGTTCTTGGATTATAGGAGTATACTTATTAAATTATTTATCCACAAGTTAAGAAATGAACTGGTCAAAGATTAGAAAGAAAAAGGTCTTGGTTGCTGTTTTCATCATCTCTATCAAGAGGCTACCAAAACTAGACAACCAACTTTTGTTTGTCTTACTCCTTATGTCCTTCTAATTTATGACCAGTTACACAATAAAGATGAAAGATCTATTCATTTCCTCTTTCACTCTTTTCCATCCACTCAGTTGAAGATCTACGCTATTCAGACCGCCTGCTCCATTTCCATAGTAGGTGAATGGCGCCCTTTTTCTTGACGGGCATCTTGTATGCGGTCTTGGTTCTTCTTTCTACGACCAGGGATTTTCTTGGCTGGTCTCTTTTGTTCTCTTATAGGGTTGCTACTTGGTGTATACCGTGAGCAAAGCAAAACAAGCAGAACTACGATGACAATACCACCGATAATACCCAGAAGAATAACCCMCCAGTATTCCTTGACCGTCTCCTTCAGACCTAAAAACAAAAACAAAATTTAACTTTAATAAACTCGTGACTTTGCCTTTTCACTGCTATGGTCATAGCCCAGGGGGGGTAGGGGGGGGGGGCTTTTCACTGCTATGGTCATAGCAAAGGGGGGGTAGGGGGGTACTCCCATATATGGACTATACGGGGATGATCCGCTGAACAGGGTATGGTTTTTTGAGCTTCTTGTCATAATCAGGGTATGCAATTTCACTCAAGTTCCAAGTTCTTCCTGAGCTTCCTGTCATATTCAGGGYTTCTACTTTCGTATTGACCGAAACTGGTTATTATGGTYGTAAAAAAACGATATGCGAGATGACATGATAATTGAAACAGGAACTCATTGCAATWAATTATATCTTTTGTCATAAACAGGGTCTACAAATTTGAGTTTTTTTGTCATAAACAGGGTACCCCTTTAAGAATCCCAGCGGAACACCCCTACCCAAATTCTGGCGGAGTACCCCCCCCAGTGATCATAGGTTCAATTCCCTGAGCCAACAATCATATTTTAAGAGTTTCACCAATATCTCCTGTTTTTCTACCTCTGCAAAAACTCAACTTCTTACTTTGAATTCAATCTGGGGTTAATGAACAATCACTCCATGCRTAACTGATGCTAAATAATTTGCATTTAATCTTACCTTTGACAGTAAAGAATCTCTCCTTCAGACGTTTCAAAGGACCACTCATATCTACTCGTCGACAAACAGAGAATACATCACAATAGCCATGCATGTTAGCACAGGGTGACCCAGGTGTTTTCTTCAGGTTACTCAAACTCACAGGGAGCTATAAGGACAAAGACAAAATAGAACTAAATTAAAGCATTTCAATCCCAAAATAATGATAATAATATTTATTTCTTAAAAATGCATAATCCTACTATCTCAATGCTTTTTACAATGGGTATTAGGACAGCCAAGATAGCACTTTCCTGAATTCCCTCGAGTGACTATAAACCAATGGCTCAAAGTGCAGATTGAACATGATGTGTTCATACATTAACTGTATTCTATAAAGGCCAACCTAGTCTTGGAGACATTGTGTTGTGGTCACTCAAAATTTTTATCAACCCTTTATCCCACAGTTTTGTAGTTGAAAAACTGTTGGTGTAATAGAAAAATCTTTTTTGAGCTCCTGCCATTTTGAAAAATCACCATTTTGAAAAATCATTTTTTTCTTAAATGAATCAATAAATGGAACCCCCTTCAAAAGAAATGTAGTTTTACTTTACCTGTTTAAGGTTTTTGACTGAAATGCAGTCCTTATTTTCACCAGGTTCTTTACAGCACATATCACACAGCTCTGCTTCAGCAGTACATTGACATTCTTCAAAGCCATATTTTGTGCAGATGGATTTTGAACAATCCCCTTTTGCTCCACAAATTCCACGTTGTTTATTACATGTTTTTTCTGGGTCCTTGATGTCTGGTTTTGGACAAGTAAAGGAATTACTTGAACATTTTGCTTCCATTAGGCATTCTGTCTCATTGAAACATACTTTGTTTTCTGTATATTTGCATGATTTGTTGCAACATGGACCTGTTTGGAAGATACAAACAATTTATTTTATATACGATATATGGCTTCAAATGACTTGGGTGCATCATTTTTGGCATCAGTCATATGAATTGCACAATACTCTAGATTCAACCTGTAACCACTAATCTCGAAAGGACATTTACAATTGACAAATGTAGCTTTTTCATGCATTTTGTACCCCTGATTTAAGGGAATATAAAAAGGTTAATATATAGAGATTTCAGTTTGTCCCTTGACCAGAAGGAGGAAAACCAGAGAACTGAACCAAGTCCAGGAAACGTCATAAACACTTTGTTGGATTGTGTTACGGTCACCAAAAAGTTCGGACATCRTTCTCCGATTCCCATACAAATTCACTGAGTTTAAAGAGAAAATTTAGATAGATTTCTTTAGTTAGCTCTCTTAACAGCAATAAGAAAAGCTTCAATCAAGTTAGGAAAATGATATTTTACTTGTATTTAGAGAACCAACAAAACAAACCAAGTAAATAGTTCATTTAAAGTCAGTACATTTGTACAGAAATCCAAGAACAATGCCCGAACTTCTTGGTGACCGTAACACAATCTAACACAATTTATACCACGTGACGGCTAGCGCTGAAAAGGTGAACTGAACCTGAAACCCCAGAGGTTAGAGATGAGTCCACTATTGCTACACCAGTAAATTTAGCTAAAGAAATCAAAATCTAAAATTTCTGATATTAAATACAGACATACCTTGACTTAAACTACAAACAGCATCAAACTTTAATTTACATTCCCTTTTGTCTCCTGGTGGGTTACAGCAATTGCCTTCATTGGCACAAGATTTTGCATCCCCACAGTCACAAGCCTCGTTAGCCTCAATAACCCTGTTACCACAGATCGGTGCTGTTGCATCTGTGAAGCAGTTATATCTAGACTGTCGCTTGGAATTCACATTATCTCGAATGGAAGTCAAACTACACTCGGAAAATTTGCTGTTATTGGGTCTGTCTCCAGATGTTGCTTTGCTATACATGATGTAATTACCATTAGTGCCACCTGGACTGCATTTACCATCAGGGTCATGCTGCAATGAACCAGTAATAATAAACAATTTGTTTCCTTGCATAATAATATAACAAGCTTTCATTCGTTACTGCATTTTAAACTCCTATTGGCCAAGGAATTCTGGGTGATGGATGAAATTTGAAATAAAATGGACATCCTGAAGTCTAAAAAGGAAGTGACTCAAAATCTGAGAGTCAAATAACCATATTATTTTTTTCCGGTCCGGTATCCTAAAATATCGYGCATTCTGATTGTCAGYATCTGGTCGCGCTCGCAGTCCGGTATCCTTTGCCGCTAAACAACAAAACAAAATGAATACAAAAACAAATAATAAAAAAATTCGGAGAAAAAAAGTTATTTATCATCCTATAGTCGGTCTGGATAGGGAAAAACTGTGCCCTCTGTCTTGAAAACGGACCTTGGCCTAACAGCCTCAGTCCKTATATTCAAGACCTCGGGCACAGTTTTTCCCTATCTGGACCTCCTGGCCAGTAAATAACATATATGAAATTTCAAGTGGAAAAAAGGTTGTTTAGGAATAATCAGTGATAAATTGAGAGTATCCTTATAACTATTATAATCTATCATTATCCAATGGTTTTGTAAAAACTTGGCCCCTCTAGGGTGAAGTGTTGTTCCTATACTATTAAGCATAGTCTAGGAAGTAAGAGTAAGAGATAAGCAGCCAAAAATCTGAGAGATGGATGAAATGCATTTGTTCAATTAACATTGGTAAGGAGTATTTGTTAGCTAAAATATTCTCATGTTTTAATAAGAGTACATTGTACTTACTTGAGAGCCAAAGCCATGTCCGAGCTCATGAGCAAAAGTGACTTCTGAAACCTTGGGAGGAGTGAATCTACCATAGAGTTTGAAAGTGACTATGCCAGTATTATAACTCTTCATTTTACCACCGCCAGTGTCATAATGCTTTGAGCACACTCCACCTGTAGAAGAAGGGTTGCCTATCCAAGCCAGACCAAGAATACCACCATCAAAATCACGGTTTGTGAAGAGGAACGCTTCGCATACCTCATCATGGTTGTCATCTGACAGCAGATCGAGCATAGGATCGATTCCCAGGTTATCTGGCTTGTATTTATCAGGAACGTCGTCGTTATCATAAACTGTTATAGTCTTGACTCGGAAAGTAATGCCGTAAGGTGAGTACAACTCTAACGCAGTTTTGTTAAAATCAGCGCCGTAAATGACTTTGACTGCTTGAACATGCTCAATGATCTTCTTCGCTGCTTCTCCTGGGCCACCAAAAAGACTCGTAAACCGATGATCRCCATATAAAGAGAGAGTACAGGCGTTCTTTTGCTTCTCGTCCTCAGGTACTCGTCGCTTTCGTGACTTGGTTTGACTTTCAGCTTCTGTATCTCTTCGTTTACGCTCTGCAGGATTTGGAAGGCGCTTCGAAATATCTGCATAATTCGCCTTATAGTGGACATCCTTATCGTTATAAATCACAGAATGGAACTCTGGATCCTTGATGTATCTTCTAGCAGGCTCAACGTAGTAGCTGTCTGCAGATCCGATGATTTTTCCACGGAAAGCACCGTCCTCCATCACACCATGTACCATAGAACCTGGCTCACCAACAACCTCGCCAGTCAAGAACGATCTTCGATCAACCTCAATCGGCTCACCCTTTCCAGTCCGGATGACTGCATCTGGAGTAAAAATACTTTTATCTTGCCTTAAACGAAGCTTGTGTTGCTTCCCAAAGGCATTAAACTGCATTTCATAGTCAGAACCTTTCGAAACTGCTCTTGAATGAGTGGAGTGTAGTCGAGAAGTATCGTAGTTCAAAGGCTCAAAATGTTTGATGAATGCTCCCAGAGGACGACGATYGGAGCTTCCAGATGATGAATAAACGAAAAGGAAAATAGCAAAGAAGCCTAGAGCTTGTTTTGAGCCCATGTTGGAGTAGAACAAGCAACACCTTTCAATACTACACGAGCAACACCCAACTAGGGACGCTTCGTTAGTCACGCTTCTTTGCTTTCTGTATTATATGCGTTACTGTAAATACCCCCTCTGCGCATAAACCCATCAGCGGTATCTATCATGATTCCAATATATCCATACWGCTCGTGGGCTCAGACTATATAGTCCTCCATATCTGAATAAAAAAATTATCATTTTATTAAAGAAATATAAAATAAAAAATGATATTGATAAACGCATTTTGATAAATATTGCTCCATTCTAATTCTTTTTTTGAAAAAGAAAAGAAAGAAGTTGTAAAATTTCTTAAAACCGAATACTCTCCGAATACCGTACGTAAACCACCCGAAGGTTCATATCTAAAAATGGCGGCGTTTATGTRCAAATGTTGTAGAGGTCCAGACAGAACGTGGAAAAATCTTATTTATAAAACTGGTATATCAATAATTAAGCATCTTTTCTAATGCTGGTATMAATCCTTATCTATTTTTCTTTTATTTTGTAGATTATTTTAAATATTTTCAACTCACGCGGTCAAAGTCCACAGCAGTGAGAGTGAAATCTTCTGTGTTCTGTGAAAAATCAAAATATTTTCGKTTACGAAGCCGTTGTTCCAGTCCTGTCTTAGTTAAAGGTAAGTAGTTAATCCGTATGTCCTTTTTATTTTGATAAAATATGGGATTACTTCAAGCTAAATGTTTGTGATGGGTATACCTACGTATACCCCCTCCCCTCCCCCCTGAGAAAATTTTTAAATTTAATATTTTCCCCCTAGGTTTTAGCTCAAGTCATGGCCTAGCAAATGCAAATACAGATGGTAAGTTATGATTTTATGATATTTGTATCACGGAACATAATAAAAGAATTAAGTACAATTTTTACACACCCCACCCTTAAAGGGAAGCATACTTTCTTAGAAGGAGCGAGGGATAAGTATCTTTATATTCTTTGTTGGATTAAAGTTGTTTATTATATAATTTACTAACTGGATACCAATTTGACAAAAGTTTTCTATTTTATCATTTTTTAGAATACCTTCCACAGCTTAGTGAAAGGGGGTTRTTGTTTTGTCAGTCCTCTACTGATGATGAAGACTATATTGGCCAACCAACACATGCTACACACCCCCACCTAATGGCTGATGGAGAGTGTATGTATTACTCATAAAATTTAAATGTTCTATTTGAAAATAAGGTTTCTCCTTCCCTTCCATCCATCCATCCATCTATCCATCCAATTTATCCTCTCTTTCTGTCTTTCTCATTCTCACTTTCCACGATGTTTTATCATCAATTATTAATATTTACCATGAAGATAAAATCCCTTGATTATCTATACCAGTAAAAACAATCCCTAAAAACGTTTGTGAATTATTAATGACTTTTGATGAAAATATTTTTGTAAACTTTCTACAATAAAACTATATAAATCCAGAATAAAGTCAAAATCTCAAAGAATTCGAAAAACAATCTTGCAGAGCATCATTATCATTTGACAAATGACRATAATGTTTTGTTTTGTTTTTGCTTAACAATATACCACCATCAAGTCTGCTTGTCGTTCCTGGTGGAAACCTTGAACTTTTCTTTGTCTAAATCAGAAAGGCAGGATTCAAAATGCTTTTAAAATGCAAGAAACACTTTCTTGTGTTTAGATRAAAAATGAACAGTCTTTCTTTTATTTTACTTCGAAATTATTTCTTTGAAAATGTTGAAAATTTCCAATTCAAGGCTTGCTCTTGTCTTTGGTTTATGCCTCTTGACAACATTAACTGTTCTTTCAATTTTGGCCTATCTGTCTTACAAGCAACCAACCGTTCCACGATTTAAGTTACAGAACCACAATGTTCTGTTATCCATTGAATGGAATAAAGTCAAGAATGAGAGTGAGGAGTCACCATTTATGATTGAACTTGAGAAACCATCTTCTCCTGAATTGTTTCCAACTCCAAGTAGAGCCAGAAGAGGAACTCATGAAAAYACCTTTGGTAGAGTCTCACATATTTGATAAGAAAGATTTTGTTTGATTTTCAATTTGTGATTTGTGCTGTAATTAAAGCTACTATCAAATCAACCCTAACTAATTTAAGCTGGTTAGAGCTGTGCTATGGGGTCACACATGCACTGTATAGCGGCAGCCACAGGGGCCTTCACATCTCAGACCATGTGTCCTTGTCTTGAGAATAAGACAATACAATACCATTTATTAACTTTACAAAGTACCATTAAACCAAGAAATGATACTCAAGGGAATGACACGCGGTATGGAAAAACATTAYGCCCAAGCTAAAAGGGAGATATTGATCGATTCCAGATGACTATCATRGTTGATTGACCAACAATGTTTATATGCTACTGATGGTTTTCAACCATTCCCAAAAGAATTAAATAACAAAAGATACGGCGGCCATGTTGGAGGATATAACAAAAGAATTCATTGACAATTCTTTTGTTAAGTTCCTCCAACATGGCCACCGTGAAAACCATTAATACAGCAACGTAGCCTCGGCATGTGGCACACCATTAGATGCTATATAACTTAATGATTTTTTTCCCTTYCATTTGTAGTGACTCCTGGAATAACTAAAAAAGAATATATGGATCGGAGGCACAATCTTATGAGGTATATGGTTCAACATTTATTTTGTTTAAATGCATTAGAAAAATGGTTAATGATAATTTAAAGATCAAAATATGAATGATACTATCACAGTAAGTATGAAATTGGTATTAGGTTATAGCGCAACCTGATGCCCTCTCCTTGGTCTCAGTTTTAATTGTTAATCTTTTCTAAATTTTTTATCTAAATTTTTTATCTATTTAAGCGTTCTTAGTAAGACACATTTTGGCTCAAYGCATGACAAACATTTTGTTATTGTACCAAGTAATCCACAGAAGTATATGACTACAGATATACCGTAAGTAATGATAATTTATTGGTGACTTTCCCCCCCCCCCAACTTTCATTTAGGATGTGTAAGAACTATGAAGATATATTCATATTATGATTTACACTGGTTTGTTTTGCTTTGTTTAGTTATCCGTTTAGACAAAACACAGATTTTCTCTATCTGACAGGGTTCCAAGAACCAGATGCTGTTTTAATTCTTGGTAAGTAGTATAGCATGGATTTCATTATTATCATGATCATTATTGTCATCATCATCATCTTACTTATCATCACTGTCATCATCATCTCATCATCATAATCACCACCATCGCCATCATCATCATCATCATCATCATCATCATCATCACCATCATCATCATCACCATCATCACCATCATCAACACTAATCATCATCATCACCATCATCATTACCATCATCACCAGCATCACCAGCATCACCACTATCATCATCACCATCAACATCATCACCCCCACAGGCATTGCCAATAAAAAATAAATTTCTATTAAGAATTTAATAATTTCTTTCTCAGARACCCAACCAGGACTTTCATTACCATACCACAGGAGTATTCTMTTTGTAAGACCAAAAGATCCAAGCAAGTAAGATGTTGTTATTGATTTACTTTCAATATATTGATCAATCGGGTAGAGTTATGTTAAAGCACATAATTATACTAATTATACTRATTATACTGTACCATTTATTTCYCTCTAGGGAATTATGGGAAGGTTCRCGTGCTGGTATCCAGGGAGCCATAAATATTTTTGGTGTTGACGAGGTGTGTATCATGATTAAAAGAATAAAAATAATGGTGGAGTTGTAGAGCAAAACAATAATCAATAATCATGTAATCATGCTCTTTTACTCCGGCGAAGGACTAGGAAAACCGTCAGTTTTTTCATCTTTTCACGGTGTATAACTTACCCTTTTATCATAACTGTTTCATCAGAAACCCTGACGCAGCTCACACTAGTTTTTAACTAGTTATCTCTTCTAATAATCATGTACGTTATGAGCAGCTGACATGTGTGGATTAACGATGGAAACAACAGTACAGAGTTATCCCATTTGAAAGCTTTTAGTTTTGGAAAAATGATCCCTTAAAGATAAAAAACAAATTCATGTTTTTTTATTTTTTTCATGAACTTGCGAACATTGAGTGCTAGGCCAAGAGAAGGCAACCTTATTTGTTACATTAACTTGCATAAATAATATATTCATCTTAATGCAATCACTTATCTTATTTCAATCACTTTTAGGCTTATTCAATAAAAGAGCTTTCTGCAAAACTCATTGAAAGGTTAGCATGCAAATACTCCTGTACAAGTAGAAAATATGTAAATATGTATAATGCAACTATTATTTACTTTACTTTAATCTTTATCACTTTTAGATACTCCAATAAGGATTATTGCATATGGTATGATAACCTCCAGCCATCTCATCCAHTACTCCATGCAGAGCTGAAGCAAGTTCTCTTTTCTAATCCTAAGTTTGTCTTTAAAAGTAAGTGAAATAAACAAGCTAATATTATTGTGTTGCATTTAATTGATTTTAGACCATCCTCCCTCCGGCACATTTTGGTGTTGCCCCACCCAACCTATCACCCCATCACCCCTCGATCCACGATGCATCAAATAATAATCAAGGTCATGACAGAAAGGAAGCTTACATGTTATAAGAATTTCTGGGTCTGCAGCTGATTAGAAGCACTGTTTCTTGTCTATAGGCTACACCAACTAATATACTGGTTTACAACTGTTGCAAGGGGGGTTCATATTTGCCATTTTATGGTTGGGGGGGGGGTGGGGGTTCTTGCACATTTAAACCACCCCTGGCAATGGGCTTGAGTATTGTTTTTATCTGCTTACATATAATTTTTTTGTGTTGGCAGGTCTATTGGTTCTTGGTCATAACTTACACATGTTACGACTCCTCAAATCACCTGCCGAGATTGAACTGATGAGGAAGTCTGCTTCTGTTGCTTCTAATGCCATTAAAAAGGTCAGATACTAAAACAAAAATATTTTCACAGTAATGATAAAAAGGTAAATTATACACCGTGAGAAGATGAAAAAACTTACCTGATGTTTCGGACGCTAGTCCTTCGTCTTTTACTCTGACGAATGACTAGCATCCGAAATGTCAGTACG